ATATATAGACAATCTAAGCAAGCAATACAAGGCAGACAATAGGTCGAATTAAATATAACTAAAAATGTCCTAACAAACCCCCTCACTCACTCACTCACTCACTCACTCACTCACTCACTCACTCACTCACTCAGGACCGCATGCTCCGGGGAGCGTCGCGCCTCTCCAAGTTGACAAACCCCCTCTTACCAGTTAATTAGGACTCATCCAGTTATTTTATGAGCCTTGTTTAAATGAATAGCTATCATTTCTTTTAGGAATTTAATAGACACTCTAAAGACTTTGCATGAACTACAGGCATAGCTCTTTTGCGTATACATCATCCTGGCGGAATTAAAATCTCTAAAATGTGTTAAATAGACCTTGAGAATGCCAAAGATTCAGCTGCGAATCTGTATACAGATTCGTATATGACCACCACGAATTGTTTTTGTCCATTTGAACGAATGACAAAGCAAAATGCGACGTACCTATCTGGTTACTGTTTAGATAAGGGAAGAAGTCGTGCGTGAGGAACGGGAAAAATGGATGTCTGGTGCTTCCCCCTATGCCTCCTATCGCAATAAGCACACCTAAAACTGTAACCTGAAACCAAAACAACATCGATTTTTCAATCAATCAATCAAACCAGAATTTTAAAAGTTTATTTAGTTTCCATAACTTTTATGACCCGATCAATCGAATGTTGGACCACATGAAAGGTTGGTTCGTAAGGACGCGCTCTCTCTCTTTATATATATATATATATTGACAGATTGGAATCCTTATAGGGTAGAATGGAATTCGAGTTCATCTTCTACACTACTTTGATCTAGATATCTGAATACAAATCTCTTCTAGGAGGATTCCAGATTCTTCTAGGGGAAATAGAAATTCCAATTTGCCCTAGAACAAGTGAGAATTCTTACAGGATAATCTCCAATTTTAAAAGGAGAAATTCGGATTGCATCAAAATGCTTCGAAAAACAGACTAATTTAATTTACACGTAAACTTTAACTTTCAGCATACTATTAGGTTAATGAACATTCAAATCAGACTCAGATATTTGCATTAGGCCATTATGAGATAGTGACTCAAAAATCAGTTTTTCCTGTTGGAAATAGATTTGGGTCTAATTAAGGAAAGATTTCAATTATGAAATTCGCATTGCAAATAATGCCGGGACAAATCTTTATTCCAATGTAGTAATTCACCTACATAGTAATAGGCTTGCCTATGCTGAAATTGATTGAAAGTTTAGGTATAAAATGATTCAATCTATGAGTTTTAGTATTTCCACAACTGAATTGGGATCTAAATATCAGGATTGCAATCTCTTCTAGGAGGATTCCAGATTCCCCTGGATTCCAATCTCCCCTGTGTGTATATATATATATATATATATATATATATATATATATATATATATATATATATATATATATATATATATGTGTGTGTGTGTGTGTGTGTGTGTGTGTGTGTGTGTGTGTGTGTGTGTGTGTGTGTGCGTGTGTATGGGCTCCGCAAAAAAGACTAATGGTAAATGTTATGGTAAAGATGAATATTCGCAGTGAAAACAAAACACATATACATACTCGTTTCGTCGGAAAGTCTCGCCACAGCGCTTTGATGGTTTCCATGTTTACAAATCCGGACTTCACACAGGTAGGCTCAGGTATGGATACAGGAGGTCACGTGGTAAAAAAACGTGGGCATCCTGCAAAGATCAGATTGACATACCGTTAGCACTTGAGTATTTTTTTTTACTAAAAAGGTACCTATCGCAGAAAAAAATTGTCTGGGGGACTGAATCGCTCTAATCTTTCACAAAAGTACAACCACTTTAGCAGGGGCTTCAGTATTGTCTACTACAACTGAGATCGAACAAACCTAACTACATGTATAAATAAAGTCACCCTACCTTTCAGTACATACTATATGTTTTCGGCAAACTACGTTTAGAATATATGTCAGTGGCTTATTATATATTAATAACTATTCATTTATTCAACGACAGAGGTTTAACTATTTACATAACTGTTTGGTCGCAACATAGGTTGTTTCCTTTAGGACGTGATTTTTTTTTTTAATCAGTGACAAAGACAATCCTTATCAAGCCATACGTCCAATTAAATTAATAATTACCAGCAAAGTAATTACATACGATATGCTCACCCGTTCCCTTGCAATTGGTAAAGTTTGGTGAACTTTACAGCCCTACTATCTGTATACATCACTTCCTAACTGTTACACACTGCTAGTACATTAAAGTATTGTCACAAATAAGTGTATCTAGTAGCAACTGTCACCACATTATAAAAAGGTGGATGCACTCTTTTTTAGTATTAGAAATAGCCTAATAATCATTAAAATAGAATCTTTAATTGATTTTAGATTTCAGCATTACCATAACGCTCTCTCAAAGATACTGATACTTACTGTCAACACCCGTTCACATAGTGTACGCATTAAACCCGTCCGCATATGTGAAGTAATTTGACGGTCATTAACATAAAAAATGATTTAAACAATTAATGCAAAAATATCTAACAGTAGGTAACAATTTTGTACAAAAATACCTCCTAACAGTTGGTATTGAAAAACTCTTAAAACAACAAAATGACCTTTCATTATCTAATTATTAAAGTTATGAAAAAGATTTCGTCCAGGGGGTTTTAAGATCCTTGATGTTATGTATCCTGCCAACTATCCCTGGACGAAAATGGCTTCCTAAGCATGATACTATATTAGACAGTGACATCACATATGTCACATTTCAAAAATTACTAGTTGTAGTTTAAAACTTGGGAAATTAGAATGTACGTAGCTATAGGAAATGTTGTTACTTACATAAGCTACATAGAGTAGAAATAAACACCTGCTTACCGAGATTCTTCACCGCTCCTTTGTTCCGGGCTGTAAAACAAGACTTGGTTATCTAAACTGTGAAAGAAAATGGCGGCGGTTTGAAAGCAGCCGGGAGAACCGGTTTTTCTGTAACAGGAAATTACCTCATTGATCCCCTCAAACGCAGTTATAACAAGAGTCACACGATATAATGCCTCTGCTTATAAGTAATGTTAACAGTTAACGACTGAGGAAATGTTTATAATCGGAATTAAAAACATACCCAAACTAGTATTTAACCGGAAACTGTGAGAAACATGTTTTCTGCCAATCACTGTTTATCACTGCGAAACAAAATGGCGGCGATTTGTACACTAAGGACAGATAGAACTGGTTGATCCAGTTTTGATATAACAGGCAACTGGTCTAGTCTCCACCAGACTTCTTTTGCAGGTTGAATAAATCGTAGAAATAGGCCTAAAAAAGGGTATTAATTGGCAAGAGAAGTTAGCCGGCCATCGACGATCAAATTGGCCTGCAAGAATTAATCTATTTTTATCGGCCAATCTAGTCACCATGGTGTTTTTTTTTATTGTCAGCGGGGCCTGGGTAAAATTGAAGTTAGAACTTTTTAATCTTTTCAGGGTCCAGAATGGTAAAAGATAGCCTGGTAGCCGCAGGGTGTTCCATGAGTTCACGCAAAGGTCACACCTAATGAAGTTGCGAAAAAAACAGCCCGGAAACTACTCAGTAGGGCCTCTTTTTTTTCCAACTGGCACCTAAGCATATAATAAAGGGTGACTGAGAGTGAGAAACATCGGGAGTCTGTAATAGGAAGGGCCAAAAATGTATGTAGGAATGATCATTCTCCCCCCTGAGTCAGAGACAAAATACTGGTATTAATCTCCAGTTACCAGCAATTACAAACAGACAATGGACGCTGTCGTCACTCGAAACATATCTTACGGGGACCGATTATAGGAGGAAGAATTCTTATTTCAAACTGTGAGTTCAAACGCAACGTATTTTAGACCGCCTCCTTGTGTTCGACATTGAAAAATAAATTCTATCAAATTGAATATACCGATGTAGTTTCATCTAAGGAGCTTATAAGGTCCTTGTTAATAATGTCCTTGTTTTAACACACTGTTAAGCTCGCTCTATCAATTTTTTTCCACAATTTACAACGTCACCCGAGTGTACTAATCATAACAGTGTTTGAGGAGGACAGTGACCAATTGCCCTGTAACATAAAAACTGGATGAACCGGTTCTATATATCCATTGTCTACACATCGCCGCCATTTTGTTTCGCCCCTCCGCATACATGTGTATGTGTGAATAACAGTGATTGGCAGAAAATATGTTTTATACAGTTTCTGGTTGAGTACTAGGTGTAGTTAATATGCACTTACTTAAAAAACAATGATCTCAAATTTTGAATTAAGTTATGCTTTTGCAGTCACTTTTTTTCTAACAAATTCATTAATCATTAATCATTCAATAACTTAAGCTGGGAATCGTTTCGTCAAGAAAAATGCAATTTGGGGGTAGTAAAAAAAAGAACACTTTTAAGAGTAACCCACTGAGAAGGGTAAACAAATTCCATTATGTCTGCTTATCACTGGTCGATCGGTACTGATTAAACATTAGGGTTAATTATTGTCTTTTCATCTTTTCAAACGGTACTTTATGGTGTACTTTCTACATATTCACAAAGGACAGTGTGTTCAGTTCAGTTCAGTTTATTGAGATACCCTTTAGCCCATTATGGGCTATTCTTCCAGGGTTCCAATACATGTAACATCACATTTACAAACACAATCCTACATATTTGCACTTAACATACAGCATAAATTATTTAAAAACAGAGGGGATTACTCGTCACATAAAATATGTGTCGTTTTAAAGATGGTTAAAGTGATTTTAATAACATCAACTGTTTCAACCGTAGTCATTGACATCAGTCTGTGATAGTGGCATACGTTTGGTTACGAGAGTTGACCGAGATTAAGAAATCTTGGTCAATGTTTAACAGGCATTATGCATTATATAAGCTAGTATGTTACACCGAAGAAGACCATACTGGTTTAAAAAACAGATACACGATTGGTCTTGATTCAGTTATATTAGTGTCGTGTTGTATTTCAACAAAGTAACTGTAGTCATTGACATCAGTCTGTGATAGTGGCATACGTTTGGTTCCGAGATTTGACCAAGATTAAGAAATCTTAGTCAATGTTTAACAGGCATTATCTATTCATTATATAAGCTAGTATGTAACACCGAAGAAGACCAGATACACGATTGGTCTTGCTCCAGTTGTATTAGTGTCGGCCGTTAGTTGCACTTCCAGAAGAGACAAGAATGAAGCAGTGTCTGGTCGGTAAGGTGGCTATAGTAACAGGAGCATCACGGGGTATCGGTAAGGGCATCGCGCTGCAACTGGCAGAGGCCGGAGCTACAGTCTACATTACAGGTGACCTAGATTTTACACAACACACAAAACATTAGTTGTCCATTTTGCAATTTGAGGTTTCATTAGTGCAAATTTAACAGAAAAGTGACAATGTTAAGGATAACAATTAGGGCATATGTAATTTTATTGTACAAGAATTCCATAGGGTACAAAATGTTTCATCTATGGGGTACAGCTTATTTACCTACGGTATACAAACGTGTGTAGCTACCATTGGATCGGACTTATTGGGTCGGAATGATCCTTTTACAATCATCGAAGAATTTTTTAACTTCTATATGTTTTGTATATGTAGGCATATCTAACATTGTTATATATATATATATGTCTGGACGCTAGTTACCCACTCATGGAGTATTTGCCCTTCGAGGGCACAGAATATATGTTACACAAGCAAATATGCCCCAGATCAGGCATCGGGGTGCGGCAAAGTGCACTCTATAACAGATCAACTCCGTTGGCATTTTATCTCTCCATTCGGCCACTTTTTACTCTTTCAGTCGCCTCCCAAAGCCTTGTAGAGGCTATCCCCACATCCGCCATGACTAAGATAGTTCAAGATATAACAATTAGCTGTTTGACATACGATGTCTAATTTAAGAATTATCGCCTGTTTGTATGTCCGTGTGTCTGTGAACAACATAACTTTGCTGTGGATTGAGTTGGACCATATGTGCGCCCAGAATCTATAACAATAAATAATCCAAGCTCGTTTAGCTATAATAAGATAAAAACTTTTATTATATCAATTCTTAGTTTTTATGAGTAGAGGTTTACGTGTATGCACATTTAAAAATGTGCAATAACAAAATCCATGTGCATACACGTAGGATCCCTTTTGTTACAGTTCGAGGGCACTTTATTTTAACAACGGGGAGCTAGAGATTAACGGTTTTAATTTTTTTTTTACATTCTATTGAAGCTTTGATCTTCGAACAATCGAATTCAAAACCACACTCGGTGTTAATTAAAGACTTATAAATTAAGAAGACTTACATATGTAAGACCGTTACAAAACAAACGAACCTATGAGCGAATCCATACTCATCTATTTTCCTACCAAAAAAAAAATTGTTCCAGGTCGGACGTTGCTGCCCGATGGTCGGGGGACTTCACTCACAGAATGTGTGGAGGAGGTACGGCATTTATGAATAAAAACTATGAAAATATATATCTATTATTTATTGTAAGTTCTTCTACAAAACGATAATGTTGCCGGTGCCTCACAGATATTATATAAGGCTGTATGGATGAAAAGCTATAAAATAAATATATTTTATATGTAATTATTCTAAATGAGAATTCGGTGTCAAAGACATCGCTTATTGTTGACACATCCTTTAGTCTTACTATTAAAACTGTTAAAGGTTAAAAAAAAAACTTAATTAAGGAGCTTGCAACAAACTGTTCCTGTTCTTCAACATGTCTACTTCAGACAGAATTATAATGCTTCGGTCAACCGACGTAGAAACTGATCTACACGTAAGGAAAAACCCGCTGGCAAGGTGCTCTTTTAAAAGTCAGTAGTACAGGATGGGCCGTATTTGTTCACTGCGACCTTTGGTTATGTTTACATTCCAGATAAAGAAGAGAGGTGGACACGCCATCCCGGTTCAGTGTGATCACGAGAAAGACGACGAGGTCAAAGGTCTCTTTGACAGGGTGGCGAGGGAGCAAAATGGCCGCCTGGACATCCTGGTAAACAACGCGTACAGCTCTGCAAAGGTAGAGTACTTTGTACACAATCAAAAAAAGAGCTACCTAGCCGATGTGTGGCAACCGTCTGTTACCTACTTCGCACGGCAGTTAGGTGCCGCTGCTGCTATGTCGAAGATGTGATCTGAAAAGTGACTCTGTATCCCCCATTCCACCCCTTCTAGCTGTAGTACGAAGTTTAACTAGTCATGTATTGCCCTTGGGAAGCCGACATACGCTAACCACAACATAGGCAAGTTGCGTACAAACCAAGAACCAAGTCGACGAATAAAACATGGTTGTTTTAACGATATGTATCAACTTTAAAAAAAAGTAAATGATCTTAAGTGAATCCTTCATGTTAAAAGTTATAAATACTTGCCACGGTTTTGTTGTTTTTGTCTGTGTTAAAAACATTGCCAAGATGTTCTTGTTATCGTCTCATACAGGCCTGCATAGATCACATCGAGGAGCCGAAGGGATTTTGGGACGCGCCGTTAGAACCATGGAACCAAACCATCAGTGTAGGAGTGAGGTAGGATATCTGCTGACAACTGTAGTGTTCTGTATGTAGCTCTTGTCTCAAAATCATTTGCAGCTGCAAAAAAAGCTGACATGACACGTACATAGCTATTATTGAGCCCATGGCAAGTTCAGAACAAAGCATGCAAGAAACACCAGTTCTGCTGCAGTACCAAAGAAAGATGGGAGACTACACGCAAAACGACCCAAATTTAGAAGCACAATCTTCTCAAAGCAAATGCAAATGTTAAACTTTACCTGGTAACAAAATGTAATGTAACGTCGATGAAGGTAAGACATCCAGGTAATACGATACGCCCGAAAGCAGTTACTCAAGCAACTGGATATGACGTTTCAGGCAGTGTCGACTCACTACCTTTCGTGTCTCAAAATCAATCGTGTTTGGCCGTTTTAAAAATCATATCCAGCTGCTTCAGTTACGGTTTTTAGCGTCAATATACTGTTCTGTTTGTTTTTCCACCCCTCGAATTCTCTCTAGCACCTTGCTACAAATTTTGACCCAACACTGTAGGGTGTCTGCTACAGTTCCAGTTAATACATTTACTATGGTTGGAGCTACTTGCTCCAGGTCATTGACCTTATGTGACTAGAGATGAAAAAGGAGGGTAAAGGAACAAGTATATTTCCTTTCTGTTAAAGTTAGGTCATGTTGATTTTATTATATGGATGACATCCACGCGCGCATGAATTTTCGGCCGTTTCCAAAAAAAAAGTTTTCAACCATACTGTAAATCGTACAAAACAGTTGCAAAATGAGCAAATATATACCGTAAGTTGCAAAAAGAATATTCAAAAATAATATCAATGTCGCAAAATGCCAAAATCTAACAAAAAAGAAGAAAATGTAAAGAGAAATGAATTTAAAGAGTAGATTATTCACCAAACCATACTCTGTGTCATTTTTTCAACCTTCATGATCACGCAGATTTCATAATGAAAGCATTTTTTTTGCATTTTTTTTTTATTCGCATGCGCACATCAGTTTTGGGGTTCCCAGAGGATGTCATCCATATAATCAAATCAACATGGCCTTATAACAAAAAAACTAAGCCCATGCTGTAAGTCTGGACTAACTAAAATCAATTCGGTAGTGTGTAGGTGTGGGAGTGATGTTGTGGATTTCTGTCTGTTTTCACAGGAACAGCTATATCTGTGCTGTGTACGCTGCCCGGCTGATGGTACCGGCTCGGGCGGGGCTCATCGTCAACATTTCCTCTGAGGGAGGACTCACTTATGGCCTTAACCCAGCTTACTGTGTCTGCAAGGCGGCGGTAAGGCTTTTACTTGTGATGTAAACGTTTTCCTAACTCCAGGTTTGCTACATTTTAGCTTTTACTTTTTTAAATGGTTTTTATTGGCCAAACAGTACCCGTGCAGTCGCAGCCTTATACGTGATGCAGGGTATCACATAATAAAAATCACAACAATTACAACAATCAAATAATACACGTGATACACATACTTGTTCCACAATTATTTTTTGTGGACCTGTCGCAAGGGTCTGTGCGGCTGCCATTCGGCGCCACAAGGTGACCTCAACATGGCTTTCCCCAACCGAAGTTAGGTACCCATTCACACCTGGGTGGAGTGAGAAAAGTCGTGTAAAGTGCCTTTCCCAAGGGCACAACGTCGTCCAGACATGTCCCGGGTACGACTCGGGATCAAACCCGGGTCTCCCGGTTCACAGTCGAATGATATACCACTACACCACCCGACGCCACTTTTACATAATCATATCAGTAATAACATGACAAGGAAAAGATACTACCAGTGCCAATGACAGAGAATATCGTTTCAAAATACAATCACAAGAAACGGCTTTAATCAAATACAGAAATAACCACATCTAACAAATATAAAAAAGATTTTAAAAAATTTAAAAAGTAGACCATCAGAATTTTACTGTGCTGCTTTTATTTTTTTTAATGTGCACTTATTTCTTATTTAAAAAATAAAATCTCCAATGACTTTTAAACCTGTTTAAAATATTTACGGATAGTTATCAACGATGTTAAGGTGGAATATTTGTAATGAATCTATACATGATACAGACTCATTTTATACAGCCAGGTGTTGTATTCAGATGAGGTTTTAATGAAATTTCCTCGGAGAAATTTTGACTGTTTCACATTGCAAATCACAGGTGTGGCTGCTATATAGATGCGTTCCAAAACTAATTTTTTTATCCTACACAAATATCTACATGGTTACAAAGAATTATATTTACAATGTGGCCCCCAACGTGCATAGTGAGATAAATCATTATTGCTGTCAGTATCAAAACCAAGCAAGAGAGTCTCTTTATTTAGTGCCTTACGAACATGACGGAACTTTTCACTGGTATATTTTATTCAGATGGACCGAATAGCCTCAGACTGTGCGCAGGAGTTGAGGGAACATAACGTGGCTTTCGTCTCCCTGTGGCCGGGCGCTACACGGACAGAGATCTTCATGGAATGGACGGAAAACTTACAGCCTAAAACACCAGTGGAGACCGCGGTAAGCAAGTGTTCACTTCCGGTGTCTTGTTTAATAAAACAACCCTTCCATAGTTAGTTCCACCTTTCCGCAGTGCCTATATTGTATTGTAAGACCCTTAACAAAGTAATGTTACCACAACAACTCATAGTTCGCTCATAGAGTTAGTTTGTTTATTTTGCACTTTAGCAGAATCATAAAACTTTTTATGAATAATCGAGTTTTAAATTTATAGCTCAACAATCGCACAAAGGACATTATATAGCATAAGCAAAAACGCCGTCAGCATGTCATTATCCAGTCTAAACAACAATGAAATAGCTATTGAGTAGTGGAAATGAACGTATGGAAGTTAATTTTATGTAGGAACGATTATAAACATTTTCCACAAAGCAAATATTGTTAATTGGTGACGTCACGTATTTAAAAAGGCGTGTGAATCGAATTAAGTCACGTGTTTGTAACTCTGGCCTTTTGTGAATTGTTATTATTAACCTGATAAAGGTTACTTACAGTGGTCATTTAAAATTCAATCCCTATGTACCCCAGTGTTAGAATGAAGTTTAGAGCCGCACTTTGACTTATAATAACACAGATGGATTTCCATGATGCACACTTCTCGGTGGATATTAATCAAATCCGATAAAGGCATGTTGACTGTATTGTTTCTAATATATTCAGGTGTAAATTTAAAGTTCATTTAGGCCGTGTTTAAGTGAAGTCACCCAAACCGCGATTCGGGTAACTCACATCTGGTCCACGTGCCACACACTCCTGTGAAACCGTGTCCGATCACAATTCGCTTGAGCTACATTTATTGCTGTTTGATGAAAACACGCAAGGTGGTGTGTTATTAATGTCAGAGGTCAACGACCTGCTTGCTGATGTCCCCCTCCTAGCGTATCTCGGCCGAATGCCGACCTTGTCCCGCCAGAGGCGGTGAACCTCGCCCTAGAACGGACACATTATTTGACCATTACTTCTCTTAAAGTTGCTGCCACGTAAAATTTGGTATTGCATATAAATAAAGAAATATCACCACGTAATCCATGACCAGGCGAAGTTACATTGAAATCACATTGCGTTCAGACGCAAATCGCGATGCAGGAAAACCGATTCGAAACCACCTCTAGAAGTGGCTTGGGATCGAGGCGCTTTCAATGTGATTTCGGAGCGTTTAGATGGAGCCACTTGAAACCGGCTTCGGGGTAAACCACATGTAAAGCGCCTTGGGTGACTTCACTTGAACAAGGCCTTACTCTCAGCCACTTGTGTATCAAGAGCCGGCGTTTCTGACTTTCTGTTACCAGGCACTTGATGTCAATAAATGATAGCTATAACGCCCTGATAAAGATGACAGACGGCCATCGAAACGTCGGCCTTGTTTAACAGGTGGCCCTGAATGAATAACTTTGCTGTTTGAGAGAACTCGAACTTTAAGTATGGATAATTCACACTTTTTCTAACTGATATCCATCATTATATTCAAACATGTATAATGTTTCTGAAATGTTCTGGACCGGACCATATAAACGGTGCCAAAGTAACTTAATGCTAAAACTTCTAAGCAAGAATACTGATTTTATTAGAAGGATTGAAAATGAAACTCGGTTTATGATAAATGATAGTTTATTTCAAACAACAATTACTAATATGTTGTAAACACATTTTTCTCTTGTTAAGTTTAAGAACAGATTCGTGTTGAATTCTGAGAGTGCCGAGTATTCAGGGAGAGGCGTCGTCCATCTTGCCACAGGTAAGTTAACGTGTTAACATCGATGTAATGTGATAAAATGATTTATTTTATTTATTCATTACCTCCATGAAAATGGAGGTATTGTTTTTGGCGCGTCTGTGTGCGTGTGTGTGTGTGTGTATGTGTGTTTGTGTTTCCGCATATTTGTACCTTCATAACTCCATAACGCCTTTATGGATTGTGATGATATTTGGTATGCTGGTAGGTCTTAGGAGGACAAAGGTCAAGGTCAAATATGGGCCTCCTGGTGGATGGCCTTGGTACTGCAGCAGCACTTCCGGTTTAAGGTTGAGTCAGGGCATGGCTGAGAGGAATCCCCTTTGTACTTGCGAGGCAGGGTAACAGATGTGGCTATGCCCAGCGAGGCAGCGCGCTCCCTCAGGGGAATAGGTGACCTATTTCAGGGCAAATGTGGCAGTGCCACTGTATGGCTGTGTGTTTGAAAACAAACAACCTGTGTTATTACCTCCATGAAAATGGAGGTATTGTTTTTGTTGCGTCTGTCTGTCTGTCTGTGTGTTTGTGTCTCCGCACATTTGCGGCCAGCATAACTTCATAACGCCTTTATGGATTGTGATGATATTTGGTATGCTGGTAGGTCTTAGGAAGACGAAGGTCAAGGTCAAATATACGCCTCCTGGTGGATGACCTTGGTACTGCAGCAGAACTTCCGGTTTTTGTATCTTTTGTCCTGAATATGCTATGGTCTTGATTTTTTGGTGGCAGATAGATTGTCCTGTCAGGAATAAGTGGTGTGGGTTTGGTCCCCCTAGCAGCTTGTTCTGGAACTGCAGGGGACTTTCGGGCGAAATCTTTAAAAGCCAATAAGTCCATATAGAAACAATGTATTTTCATCATTTTTGGTAGGTAGGTAGCTGAGAGAGAGATGTACATAATTAACTGCAAATTATGCAAATGAGGACTTAATTTGCATAATTAATGAGGAAATTCTATAATTACAGTGTTTTGCATTATAGTACTTTCATACATGTAATGTACTAGTATGTAATCTATGGCAGATGGAACATCACCAGATACCAATTATGCAAATGATGACCTAATTTGCATAATTAATGCGAAAATTCTATGACTCCTTAGTGGTAAATGATGGGAATTTCATACTTGGTACATGTGTAAGTTAATCAAAAGTTAACATCACGATGCATTTATTATGTTAATGTGGAGGTAATTTGCATAATTAAAGAAGAAATTAACATTTACATGTCAAGCCCATATTTCATGGAGGTATGAGATCTCGGAACTCTTGTATATGAAGATTTACCCCTGTGACATTTGTGGAAGGATTGACATAACGGGTTATTATCACCTCTTCAAGATGTCAACCTAGAGACCTGTGAGGTTTGAACCACTCACACCGGGACGGTCACCTACACTTTTCGCTAAAGCCCTGGTAACAACCCGCCGTACGTGCTTTTTGTCCGTACGGTTTTTTTTTTGGAGGCTACATCTGCTACGTATTTTCTGAGAACGTGGGAAAGGAGTGGCGTCGACGCACGTCACTCGCACGTCGCTCACACGGTTGCGCAAGGTGTAAGAGTGTGGTCTGCCCGCCACGTCTGGCCGTGAGCGATTCGTTGCGCAAGTAGTAAGTAAGTTGTACGTGCTTACAACGTAAGATCTCTGTGCGATTGCAACTTTACCGTAAGGAGGCCGTACTCACACGTGCTTCTTCTTTTTTTTTTTTCTTCCGTACGGTACGTACGGGGCACGCGCGTCGCTAGTACTCGCACGCACTGGTGGTGAATCCGCACAACGCACGCAGAAAAAGTTTTACATGCGGATTCCGTACGAAGGCGGTACTCACCACACACGAATGCCCTACGTTTGCCCACGTTTTTGCACGCAGACAGCACGCAGAAGCACGTATGGCGGGTTGTGACCAGGCCTTAAGTGTGGTTGTTTCTTTTTTGGTGTGGCATTCCAAAATACGGGACCTCCATTTAATGTCCAATCCGAGGGACCTCCGTAACCAATCCTAGGTAATCATTTACACATGAGTAAAGTGAGGTTGCCCACGAATGTTTAAAGACCGTATGCGCAAAAGTCCAGCATATCATAATCTTAAATGCAACCATGGAAGCAAACGGGACTAGAATAGATTAGAATAGATTCCAAGCGAATCGCAGCCAAGCGTCGTTGGAGATTCTCCGGGATTAAAGTCCTAGGAAGATGGTCCTGAATGTGTGTGGCAGGTATGGCAGGTAGAGATAGCAATGGGAAAAGTTTCGAAGTCAATTATTCATAGTATTCACTGCAGTACATGGAAAACGGTAAAGACGCCAGGGAAAACCCCTAAATGGCCTCGTCATGTTGACTAGAATATGACTGTTCTTCCAAGCACATCTAGCTCTGTGTGACTGATTTCATTTATTTCTTCCAAGGCTCAAACAATTAAAATGACATAATTACAACATAGTAGAAACATTTAAAAATACATACATATATACATACATGTACACCACATCAACAATAAATACACATAGATATTAACAATTTAAAAGTAGCGAGCAAGGGTCAATGATTGCAGTGTCACATTGTAGATTAAAGAGTAATTCACTGCCAACAGATACCTGTTTTCATGATCTCTATTTCAGACCCTGACATCATGGTGAAGTCAGGGAGAATCTTAACCAGCGGTGACCTGGCAGATGAGTACGGCTTTAAAGACATTGATGGTAGGGAGCACCTGCAGATTCTCATTAAAAACAACATTGTCAGTTTAGGGCAGTAAAACTACATTTTCTTTGTAATGGAGTAAGGCCATGTTGATTTGATTATATGGATGACATCCTCCGGGAACCCCAAAATTGATGCGCGCGTGCGAATAAAAAAAGTTTTGCAAAAAAAAAGTTGTTTTCATTATGAAATCTACGTGGTCATGAGGGTTGAACAAATAGGACAGAATATGGTTTGGCGAATAATCTAGTCTTCAAGTTCATTTCTTTACAATTTTGTCTTTTTTCGTTTGATTTTGGCATTTTACGACATTGGTATGTTTTTTTTGTAACTTACGATATATTTTTGCTCATTTTGCAACTGTTTTGTACGATTTACAGTATGGTTGAAAACATTTTTTTTAAACGGCCGAAAATTCATGCGCGCGCGGATGTCATCCATATAATCAAATCAACATGGCCTTAGTTGAATCAACCCCTATCCCGAAGCATATTAGTATCCTTGAAGGTGAATGCGGTGTAGCTGGCGGAAACGATTGCTCATTTCTTATCGGAGGCTTGTTTTATTTATGTGCTGATAGTACCTAAAATTTTTCACCTCACATTCCTTATTTCTAGACGTCTAAATCCCTTTATATATAAAATAATGACGGGAATGTGATGTACTACCAAATGTCAAAATTAGAAAGATTTCCTCACCCAGAATATTTTCCGTTCAGAAATTGAATTTGATGCATTTAACAGAAAAATGTATTTATCAGAAAAATATCGAATACAATATTGCAAGTGCTTAGTAATACATAGAATTGACTGACAAAGTGTAATGATTCCTCATGTTAATAGGACAAATATTCTGACAATTTTAACGAGAACATAGGTGATCATAATGCCCTAAAATACACCTGGTTCCTTATAATGATTACAACTCACCACCAAAATGAAAACTGACCCCTTTTGATACACTTTGTTACTACAGATGATGACAACAAATAACGACGTTGCCATCATAGTGGATTTCATTTCTAAATGTTCAGTCACTTCAGTGTCTGGAAATGTTACATATTTCAAAATCGCGTTATATTTGTAGCCGTTGCACTTATATTTTTTCCCTGGCAGTTATCAGGCCACACCAATTGTATTTGTTGGTTCTGTAACTAAACAGAATGATGCTGAAATAAAACAAAAACATGGAGAAAGAGTCTAGAAGGATCATATCATATATACCCTTCTACACTCTGTTTATACATACAATTACTTAAGTTCACACAAACTTCAGGTAGTGAATTTGACCAAATGCAACTTTCTCTACCAGCTATTCGTTTTTTTTCCTCCTACTAAGTATTAAGAATTTCAGAGAACATAAATAAAACTAAGGCCATGTTGATTTGATTATATGGATGACATCCGCGCACGCATGGATTTTCGGCCGTTTCCAAAAAAAAAGTTTTCAACCATACTGTAAATCGTACAAAACAGTTGCAAAATGAGCAAAAATATACCATAAGTTACAAAAAATGATCTTGAAGACTAGATTATTCGCCAAACCATATTCTGTGCCATTTGCTTAACCCTCATGACCACGTAGATTTCATAATGAAAAGAACTTTTTTTTGCAAAACTTTTTTTATTCGCACGCGCGCATCAGTTTTGGGGCTCCCGGAGGATGTCACCCATATAATCAAATCAACATGGCCTAAGCTGGAAAAACAAAATATTTTACCGCCAGTACGCTGTATTTTCAGGCCGGTCTCCCCCCGACTACGTCCGCCGTCTGAGGGACCGACTGTCCATGACGGGCTACACCAGACTGGCTGCCTGGGTACCAGCCTTTGTCAAGATCCCCGGCTGGATGCTTTCTGCGTACTACCACATTATTTAGCTTTAAATATGAAAACACTAGCTCAGAAAAAAGTCCCTAATATGCTAGTACTAAAACACCAATTATCAAGACATTCTTCCGCATGTGCAATAACCATTTTGTAAGTGGCCATGACCCGACGAGGTCATCCGACGACTGGTATAATCACACCGGCACAACATTTGTTCTTGTAGATCACCAGTCTCACTACTCGTCCTCATATAAATGCACAACAAGAGCCATGTGAGAGCTGTCAGCGTTCTAGATCTCGCAGCCCAACCGCCATTTTGTCCCTGACCCCTACAAACTCTCTGTGACTTCTTGAAAATACCTTGCATGCCCTCAGGGCTTGACGCTATCGCTAGCAGCAGCCCTTAATGTCAAGAATGCAGTAGACAAAACAGTAAAGGGACGCGTGCATGAACTATGACCTGTATTCTTTGACATGGTGTAACCTAAGAAATGGCGACGCCTTTGCAAAATACATGTGTAAGCTAACCTTATCTTAGACCTTAGTTCATTCCACAACAAAGCAGAAAGGTACACAGTCAACATGCTTGTTAAACGTTTCAGCTCGGATGCTTTTAAGACTTGGCACAAGTACAGCCAATTACTGAGCCAACAGTAATGTCATGAAACATAGAATTAGGAAGATCAAGAAAATTTCTGTTAATGAAAGGTTTGCCCATTCTGTCGAGAACTTCAGAGTATCAGGCAGTGTATTGTTTCCTGTTATATATTTATTTCTGTTGTATAATTGACAATGTAGAAATTATTACAACCTTGATCCTATATAAATTCCGTTACCTTATCAACTGAGATAAATTCTAGTATAGAAGGTGATAAGCATGCATAGAAGTTAAATATTTGTACTATATTTGCTAATATAATTAACCAGATCGAAACCATTAAGTACTGACTGTACTGACTACTAAACCTACATAATTAATGATAACACGGTAATTTGTCATTTCCCAAAAAAGGTAAGGAACTCTGCTCGCTTTGTTTAAAAAGCATACATACATAATAAAGGTCAAGTATGATCTTTGCACTTGACTTACAGTTGCATTAACTTAAAGGCAGACGTCGACGCTGTACATATCGGTTATTCTTAAGGATTATTGGGTATACACTAGCATGTCGTACACCTCAGATGTCACTGATAGCTCTTCAATCTCGTTACATAGACGGTGGTTACATCTGATTTCAAGCGGCTTTATTCTTCACAAGAAAGTTTATTGGCTGGTCTCCAAAAAAGCAAGTAAGTTAACAGTGTATGCATAAATACAGTTCTGATTGTTTGCAGCTATTGGACACACTAATACTACGTGTCGTCCTTGGAAATATATAGCTGTTCCCCATGACTCCAAGTTGCGAGCTACGTAATGTACTTGTAATTGTACTTACAGTTGTTTGAAGAGATAAAATCTTATAAAATGTTTTCCTAAACCAAGATTTACCCATTAATTAAAATCATCCATTTTCCGCGCTACCACAAGTTAATTTTCTAGATAGTATATAAAACAGTCAAATACGTCTCGTCATTTCTCACAAATCTAGCCAATAAACTAACGCGGGATCGCACAGATCTTAAACGGATGCGGGGTCAACCCTAGACTAAAGACGCCTTCAGTGGTTGGAGGAGGAGCGCCCTCTGGCGTCCGGAAGGTGAAAGACTGCAGCAGGGTCGAGAAGAACAGGAAAAGTTCCATCCTGGCCAGCTGCTCACCAAGACACACGCGTCGGCCTGGAAATAAGAAAAATGCCTGAGGGTATTTGTTAACTCTACCTCCATACCAACTTTTACGTCATTTGGCTCGGAAATAAATGTTGAATCCACTTAGTGAAGTCGAATGAGAAAAATAAAATATATTTCATCGATGAAATACTACTTACCTCCTCCAAAGGGCATGGAGGACTCAGGCTTGTTGATGACGTTTCCTTCCGCGTCCAGAAACCTTCCGGGGTCAAACCGGTCCGGATCAGGCCAGTAGGCGGGGTCCATGTGGAGGGAATACAGGTTCAGTAGTACCTGGATGAAATAAAGCAGAGTATGTCCATACACCAATACACACTGCAAACATAATATGTTCAGAATGAATTCAGTCGAAAGTTTCCTTCGTGTTAAAATGAATTGTTAGTCAGTTAGTCAGATTAGCATCTCTGTATATTGCAGCACCTGTACGGCATATCTGTAATCAGTCACTTGTAAGCAGCTGCTTTCCTGCCCAGTGGAAGGTAGCTAAGGTATGCCCCCTTCCCAAAATGATTTACCATTGTCAGTCTCGAATTGTGCAACGGAAATGTATGCAGACGATACATCTATGTATAAAGCTTCTAAGTCCATTGTCGAGAAAACGGCGGCTTTACAATCTGACCTTGTTAGGATTTCAGAATGGGTAACAATTAACAGACTTGTCATGAATGTTTTAAAGACTAAGAGCATGCTTTTTGGCACACCCCGTAAACTGGCTCTTCTACCTTCTACCACATTAAACCTGGTTATTGGAACGGAAAATATCAAACAGGTGGAAGAGACTGTGTTACTCGGTCTACAATCTACATATGGATCAGTCCCTTACATGGAACTTGCATGTCAATGACATACTTGTTAAACAATCAAGGAACATTGCGCTTGTGCGTAGACACGCATGGGCCATGTCATTCGAAGTCTGTAAAGTTGTTGTTTGTGCAATCGTTCTATCACTTGCACAATACTGTTTACCAGTGTTATCCAATATGTCTGCTTCAAACACCCAGAAATTGCAAGTTGTACAAAACAGAGCCTGTAGAATATTGTTGTCTAGATCATTTGATACACCTGTTAAGGAGATGCACAGGGAATTGGGATGGCCTTTGGTCAAAGACAAGTTTGTTATTAGCACGTTGAATATGTTCTTCAGAGTGCTATCCAGTAAGGAACCCCAAATCATATATGATTCACTTGTTCCAATCCAGTCAACCCACAAATATTCAACCAGATTTTCAGCTTCTAACAGTTTCTTGCTCCCCAAACCAAAAACAAACAGTAAAAAAAGAACATTTCAGTATCGTGCAATCGACCTTTGGAACAAACTACCACAACACATCAAATCACTGTCAAGCACATCTAACTTTAAAAAAGCCACCCGCCAACTGTTCACACAATATGAGTCCTGTGATTAGAGTGTGAATTAGGTATCTTTCATTTGTACATAATGTAATAATGTAAATTTCCTCTTTATGTCATATGTGTATTTTTAACTATGTCATCTGTTGTTTGTATTGTATGATCTTTGTATGAACCCTGGAAGACTAGCCAGTTTTGGCTAAAGGGTATCGTAATAAAGGAATAAAGGAAGGAATTGTCACAGAGTAAATCTGGCATATGACAATTAGCAACATCAGAAAAAATAATTTGTGACCTTTTGCAGGAAGCATACCTGGGTTCCCTTAGGGATGTCATATCCCTGCATTTTGACCGTCTCTGTGGTGGCGTGGGGGATCGAGAGAGGTGCAACGGGCCGGATCCTCATGACCTCCAGCAGACAGGCGTTCACGTAGGGCAGCTGGGAACGGTGGGACAGGGCGGGCAGACCCTCACCAACAACGGCATCAAGCTCCTGCTGCACCTGATAAAGTTATATTATATGGAGCACATGGAATTATCTGCTACAAGTCGTAATATTTATAAACTCCTCGTTCCATAATTACACATTTCAAAGATGAAGGCCGTCGCACTACCCCTCTTCCAATCAGCGTACGACAAGGGGTTAAGGAATCTTATGTTGTCTTGTTTGGGCCAAAAATATTTAGAGCTTTTCTTAGCAGGGCACTTCAAAGTCTGACACAGACCAACAGGGTATTAGCTGATCAGTACCTTATTTTGGATGTCAGTGTTCAAAGCCATGTAGAGCAGACTCCACAGCAGTGTGTTGGTGGTTGTCACTATTCCCGCAAAGAAGAGGTCCGAGGCCATATACATGACGTTCTCCTCTGTCAGACCCTCCACCTTCTCCTGCTTCTCAACCTCCAGCAGGCAGAAGTCCAGGAAGTCTCGCGGATTCTCGCGATCCAGGTTCTCGCGATGGCTGTCTATCTCCATTCTCATCACATTTCTGACCTTGGAACATTCTTCCAACACATTGATGTAGGGTCGATTGACTGTAAATAAAAAAAAAAACAGTGGGCTGAATATAAAAAGAATGAAAAAATCGTTTTGTTCTGAACAATATTTACTATGTTGACTATGTTGTAATAATACCTAGGTATGCATCGATTGCACTTATGACTGCGCAGTTAATTAACCCTAATGAAGACGGTCATCGGAACCTTTGCTCTCGCTCAACAGAAGTAATTTGTAATAAAGAACTTTGCTTTTAAATCAGGGGGAATAGTTATACTTAAATGTAAAGTAATTAGTTGCAAAGCAGCTCAGCACCTTTCCCCATATAGATTTTAATTTTCTTACCGAACTGATAAAAGATACAGCTATTGACGGAGCTATTTTCACAGAAAGTGTTGTTTAAAGTTTAATTCTTAATTCATATGGTTTGTTTGTAAAATTGGCTAATATACAAATATGAAAGTATTCTACGCTAAAGCATATTCTTCCGTTCTTAACTCACACTTCTAATTATTAATCATAGTTATTGTATAGTTATGATATCCTATGTATTACTTTATTTAATTTAGAATAGAGGAGGAGGGACTAGTATGAGCTATATATGTCCCTCCCTCTGTGCCTGCTTTATCTACTATCATTTATGGTATCCTTTACTTTCTTGCTGCGCAAAAAAAGTAATAATAATTGAACAAACCTACCGACAGGAACAAACCGTAGCAAGGGGAAGACGTCAATGACTTGTCCAGTTCCAAGTTTAGCAGTCTTAGAAAGAGCCTGAGACAGCTCCCGAAACGTCTTGTTCTTGTAGTCGTAACGTTTTCCCATCAACATGGAACAGATGACGTTAGCAACCACCACTGTGACGTCATGGGCGATGTCAGAGGGCTCCCCGTTGTATTCTGCAATCTGAACAAGAATGTGTTTATCTGAAAAATTAGTCGTTAACTTTGTAGTGTTGTCAAGATGCCAACGGTCTAATGAGGCGAAAGGCAAACATATTATGATCCTACATTTCACAGACCTTATAGCATTAAGAAGTAGAGCCATTTTTTAATGGTAAGGGCAAAACAGGGCCACGATCAACACAATAAATTGTTCAAGAAACGTTCAGAAGGGATGCATGTATATGTCACAGGGGAGATTGGAATCCAGGGGGATCCGGAATCCTCCTAGGGGAGATTGGAATCCCTATCTCCACTAGGGGAGATTAGAATCCCTATTTCCCCTAGGAGAATCTGGAATCCTCCTAGGGGAGATAGGGATTCCAATCCCCCCTAGGGGAGATTGGAATCCTCCTAGGGGAATCTGGAATCCAAGGAGAGATTAATATCCTGATATTCAGATCCCGTTGTAGATATTCAGATTCAATTGTAGAAATACTAGAACTCATAGATTGAATCTTTTCACACCTAAACTTTCAACCAATTTCAGCATAGGCAAGCCTATTACTATAATTGTAGGTGAATTACTAGATTGGAATCAAGATTTGTCCTGGCATAATTTGCAGTTCTAATTCCATAATCTTTCCTAACTTTGACCCCCAAAAAATGTGAAAATAAATTGGCAAAATAAAGGAAACAACAATATTCTTACAAAGCATGATTTTATTCAGAATTTATATTATGAACCAAGTCACTAACAAACTGGAAAAATTGGTTTTTGAGTCACCATCTCACAATGACCTGATGCAAATATCTGAGTCTGATTTACATATTCACTTACCTATGCTGAAATTGATTGAAAGTTTAGGTGTGAAATAACTCAGTCTATTTTCCCAAGCATTTTGATGCAATCAGAATTTCAAAAAATTGGAGATTGTCCTGTAAGAATTCCCAATTGTCCTAGGGCAAATTAGAATCCCTATCTCCCCTAGGAGAATCTGGAATCCTCCTAGGAGAGATTGGAATTAAGACCCAGGTTTTCTACAAAAACTTGAATTCCAGTCTCCCCTAGGGGAGATTGGAATCCCTATCTCCCCTAGGAGGATT